CATCCGACTTGTTCTGAACAAAATACTGAAATTTTAAATCATATTTTATGTCTGGCATTCAACATACTGGTCATTTCTCCCTTTTTTTTTTTTTTTTAAGATTTTATTTATTTACTTGACAGGGATCACAAGTAGGCAGAGAGGCAGGCAGGGGGTTGGGGGAGGAAGCAGGCTCCCCGCTGAGCAGAGAGCCCTATGCAGCGGGACTCCATCCCAGGACTCTAGGATCATGACCTGAGCAGAAAGCAGAGGCTTTTTTTTTTTTTAATCATTTTTTTAAATTTATTTTCAGCATAACAGTGTTCATTGTTTTTGTACCACACACAGTGCTCCATGCAGTCCGTGCCCTCTCTAATACCCACCACCTGGTTCCCCCAACCTCCCACCCCCCCACATCTTCAAACCCTTCAGATTGTTTTTCAGAGTCCATAGACTCTCATTGTTCACCTCCCCTTCCAATTTCCCCCAAATGCCTTCTAACTCCCCATGTCCTCCATGCTATTTGTTATCCTCCACCAATAAGTGAAACCATATGATAATTGACTCTCTCTGCTTGACTTATTTCACTCAGCATAATCTCTTCCAGTCCCGTCCACATTGCTACAAAAGTTGGGTATTCATCCTTTCTGATGGAGGCATAATACTCCATAGTGTATATGGACCACATCTTCCTTATTCATTCGTCTGTTGAAGGGCATCTGGCTTTAACCCACTGAGCCACCCAGGCACCCCCATACTGATCATTTCTTTTGTCTTCAGTAGATAAGCATATCTTCTGTATCTTCACCCTAATCACTAACATGACTGTAGTCAGGAACTATTTTTGGCTATAAGTAAAAGAGCCTAACAAGGCAATGGCTTACATCAGGTAGCAGTTATGTCTCACATAACAAAAACAAAAGCATGGAAATAGGCAGTTCAGAGCTAATATGGCACTTCCATGACAGATGGCAACAAATGTCCCAGCAGCTCTTTCTGCTTCTTCATGCATTAGGTCATTCTTCCATCCTCAAAGTCACTGCATGGTAGAAAGATGCTTATTGCAGCTCTAGCTATGATGTCTCAGGCAGGAAGGGGCTGGGAAGTGAAAAGATGCATGCAAGCTAGGTCAGTCCTACTTTTTAACTTTCCCCAAAGCTTTGGTCAAAAAATCTTGTTTTGATAAGATTTCACGCTGCTGCTTTTACATGGAAAGAAGACTTGGAAATGTGACTTTTTAGCTGGGGACATTGCCACCTCCAACAAAATCAGAATTCTTTAGGTGAAGAAGAGTAAATGGTTGGGTAGACAAAGGAAGAAGCAAGAGGAACAGATTTTTTCCCAAGAAACCTTGAACTCCTAAGTACCAGGGACCTAAGCTGTGGGGATACAGGATATGAAAAGATGAATAAGACAACCTTCACCTTAGCCACAGTGAGTAGTTTTTAATGTCATCAAGTTAATGTAAGTAATTAGAGGCCATTTTCTCTGAAAAGATTGGTTTATCACATTTGCTAGTCTCCCATAGAAAGTCAAATCTCAAGTTGCTGCACTGACTGTCCTTTGAAATAAATGCTTTATAAATGAAAGCACTTGTTTAACCTAATGACTAATACTTCTTTTAGTTGCAAGGGATTGATGATCATCAATTTAGTTAATGAAATTTTTATAGCAAGAAAGTGAAAATGGGATTGCTTAATATTTGTCTCCTTTGGACCCAACCTATTGCACAGAGTTCAACAGTGACCTTTTTCTAAAGGATAGAAAACTGGAATTCACTTCTTCAATTTCAATTTCCTTTTATTCTGTACAGACAGTTCTATACCACAGCCATCTGTCCATCTTGACTCTGACAGCACTAATGTCTGAAAAAATTTCAAGACAAAATTAACAGAAGTTACATATATCACTTCGAACAGTATTTTTCCTTTTTGAAAGAAAACTAAATCTCTATAGTAGGGGAAGGAGCAGATACTTCACCTTTAAGTAGATGGAAATGTTGACCTATTTGGGCAACACGCAGAACTCATTTTACTTGGCTTTCAAACAATATATGATATATCGCAGCCTTTTAAAAAATGATCTTAATCTACTTATAATAAGAAAATTTCCCTGACACAGTGGAGACGAGATAGGTCTGTGGAAATTTCTCAGAACTCCCCACAATCACCATTATCCTTTACAGCTGAAGAAAGATTTGCTCTGTGAGAAAGACCCAATTTTATATTGAAGAAAGAGCTTCTGGTCAGTTTCTCCCAGAACACCTTCCTTGGGATTTTGTCATAAAATCCAAAGGAATGCTGACACTTTTTGCCTTAAACGCTCCACCAGTGGTTCTTGCTTTCCTCACCATTTTTTTTTTTTTTTACAGAAATGAGACACACCCTCTCTTTTGTGCTCTGTGCTATTAATATAGCAATATACAAACAGAATGAAATATAAACTAGAAATAAGTTGGCATCAGTATTTGAGCAAGGTGTGCTATGCCTATGTTGGGATGGGGCACTTTGGGCTTTTAATTGCTTTATTTTCTTTATTAAATTTTTAAGAACACCAATGTGAAACAAAAGATTTATCAAGAAAAATAATTCTCTCTCCTTTATCGTAACCAATGTTGAAATCCTTCCACATGTCTCCCCCTATTCACTCAAACATTCTATACATACACACATATAAAAGTTAGGATGCTCGATGCCTAAAAAGGGAGAGTAAGTACAAGAGAAGTATCCTACCTCCTCCTCGTTTTTTAATTGTATGGGAAAGAAGTGTATAAAGAACATGGTTTTATTAGGATTCTTCCAGTTGCAAGATACAGAAACCCTATTTAAACCAGCTTAAGCAAAAATGGGGAATTCATCTTTCATTTAACTAAACTGCAGAAAGCTGGGATGGAGTGGGAAGGGGGGAGCCTGTGTCAGAACAGCAGGATTGAACAATTCAAATGTTCTCAGGTCTTTGCCTTTTTCTCCTCTCCTCTTAACTTTGCAATCTTTCTGTCTTGAGGAAGTTGGTTTAATTTCCTTGGAAAGCCTGGTACCATAGCTACTTGCAATCCTAGCCATTCTTTCATACAGGCACTTGGGAAAAAAAAAAAAAAATCCCTCCAGCTTCAATGAGAAGAAACCCTGTGGCCACAGACAAAATCTGTAACCAGGAAGATTTGGCGGATAAGTGTAGAAAGCCAAAGTAACTGCAGCTCAGGAATGGCTTGAATGACATTAAGAAGATAACTGTTTAGTGATCTGGGAAGATTGATGAGTTGAGAAAGTGGTTTAAGGAAAAACCATGGTCGATCATTAACCCTACTTTTACTAGATGTATATCCCTGAAAGGAAGTGACTCAATCTTGCGTTCAAAGGTTATTGCCTGCTTTCTCAGCATCAGTGTTGTAGGGGGGTAAAGTCAAGTGAGGTTACCATGTCAATCCAGGACACAAGTGTGAAATACTACTCCTGCCTCCATTTTCACCTCTATGCACCTCCATGAAAGTGGAGATTTTCTTGAGGCCATAATTCTAGATCTCTGAAGGTACATAGCACAGTGTCTTTTTCATATTGATCATAGCTCAATAAATTTTAATTTATTGATAAGAGAAACAATAAAGATGTCAAAATTTAAATGCCAGTTTCAATCAAAGGCTTTGCATCTTCTAAAGGGGAAAAAAGGGGGCATCTGGGTGGCTTAGTGGGTGAAGCCTCTGCCTTTGGCTCAGGTCATGATCTCAGAATCTCAGGGTCCTGGGATCAAGCCCCACATCAGGCTCTCTGCTCAGCAAGGAGCCTGCTTCCCCTTCTCCTTCTGCCTGCCTCTCTGCATACTTGTGATCTCTCTCTCTCTCTCTCTCTCTGTCAAATAAATAAATCTTTAAAAAAATAGGAATAAAATTTTTAAAAATCATTCCTTCTTGTCTAAACAACTTTATTCACAGTCATTTCTCCTGTTACCTTTCCATCTTCTCTCCATGCAAAGTGGGAAACAAGCAAAGCATATGTCCCACCCATCCTTTTCCCCAGAGCAAAATTTGTTGTTATAACTGATGCTAAGAGACTGTGCTCCTCAAAACATCTTTGGCAGCAAATTTACTCTCAGACTGAAAAACCGTCTCCATTCCAGTTCTGTGCACTGAAACCCAATTTTCTAGATTCTGTGCTATGATCGGGGCCTCAAAAACCTTAAACTTCTTTAACCCCCATCACTGTCAAAAATTTATATGTATTCCTTTAAGGCCTTCATTGGTTATCTGCACTTGTGAAGCTGAGGTGTTTTCATATCAAATGGATGTAGCCTTATGAGTGCAACAGTGAGGGTTGTGAGGCATAAATTGAAAGATGGGGAAAACCACAAAGTTCACCTTTCTCTGTGTTGTCCAGGGCACAGTCTTTAAGACAGATTATGACCACTGTTGGTGACACAGTTTGTAGATAACACAGAAATAACCTTCATTATGCATGAATTGCAGTGGCTTTCTGCTGAAGAGGGCAGGGCCATGGAAGACATGACAAAATCGGTTTCAGTTAAAATTACATTTTTATGCACTGTAGTCTCATTAAAACATTCCCAGTGGGGAAGAATGATTTCTGAGCTATCATTACCAAGCAGCATTGCAAATTGTGTTCTGAAACTGTCAGAAAAGCTTTATTTCACAGAATAATAATAGTGCAATCAAGTAACAATATCAATGACAGACAAAACAAAACCACTTCATTTTTATTCTGGATAAATGCACATCCGTTAGAGTATTAAATCCAAAAATAATATATCTGTGATTTTTAAAAAAAAACATGAGAAAGTAAAGGGTCACTGGTTGGGTCAGTTGGTTGAGCCTCTGACTCTTGGTTTCCATTTAGGTCATGACCTTAGGGTTGTGGGATCCCATGCTGGGTGTAGAGCCTGCTCAAGAGTCTCTCTTTCCCTCGCCCTCTGCCTCCCACCAGCCCCCCTCATGCTCATGTGCCCTCTCTCTCTCTCTTAAAAAAAAGAAAAAAAAGAAAAACCTAAAATCTAGACTCCCAATCAAGTAATAATAAACATTTTTATTTGATTTTTTACATTTCTCACACCAATGTAATAGCACAGTACACATTTTATTATCTAGATAGAGATGTACTAGTAAATTGTGGGCAAACTATGATATATTGTAGAATATATTCTGAATTTCTGATTATAAAAATGTTCAACAAATACAGAAATTTACAAAGTAGTTCAATGTTCAATGGTAGAAGTGTCAAGTAATTATCAAGCTGGGTATGTTCTCTTTCTAGATCCTACCCTGCTCCGGTCAATGTACTTGTTGGGACCTGCTTCTGTGTCTCTAGAGTAACCCTTTCAGGTGCCTCCTAGTTCAGGTTTAAGTGGAATATCTCCTGGTAATATTTGTATCAACTTGGAGACCACAAATGATGGCTTTCTTCCCTCTCTTCTAGTCCACTTACAGCCAGGGAGCCGTGACCTGCAGAGTCCTGGGCCCTGTGGTCATTTCCCCAGGCCAGTCTTCTTACTGAGTGTCATTGTGTGTGCTTCTGTGTACCCTCAGTTAGCTGCTGCCCCACCCTCAACATACTCTTTCTCTGCAGAGATTAAGTAGGGCTGAGTGAGGGGAGCCTAGGCTGCCACTCTGGAAAGATTACCAGTGCATCAACTTCAGCTTGAAGGCCATCACATTTTTCAGAAGTGTCACTTTTTATATCTTCCGGTTGATGGATCTAAGCATTTAAAAGAATGCTGCTTGTTGAATTTCTTCAGACTAATCTGCAATTAACTATTCAAACACAATTCACGTACCCACTAGAACCCTACAATAATGAGATCTCTGTCTAGTGTATACAACTGAGCACATATTGAAAATAAAAAAAAAAAAAAGGAATCCCAAATCCTATGAAGGTTGATGCCCTTTGTTTTCCAGTGTAGCTCAGATCTTGTTCAGAAAGGATGCCAGTTTTCCTTGTCTAACCCTCTTGTGTGTCAAAAAGTAGCTTGGTTTTATCTTGATGGGGTGAGCTTGTGGCCAAATCCGAATGGCGATTCTGGAGTAAGGGAGGAGTTCCTATCTCACCACATTCAACATATCTGAGGTTGTGGCACTCACATGCTGAGGACTGAAGACTTCTAGAGTATTTTTGGACACAGCACTTAATAAGGTACTTGAGAACCAAAAAACTCAGTTCAATGAAATTCAACACAATGCACAGGCATGAGATAATAACCAAGAAGAGTATGAAGATGGTTTTCTCAGTGGGTTTGGAGATGAAGCAGTCCACAGTGTTGGGACAAGGCTTCAAGTCACACTTCATAAGGTAGGGAACACTAAAGCCATCATACAGTTTGTAAAATAAAACCAGGAAGCCAATCTCAAAACCAGTTTTAACGATGAGGCTGATAAAGTAAGTGTACCACAGACCCCCATCCATCATACCTGGGCTGACATACAGTTTCTTTCTGTGCCTCTTCTCTCTACCCTCATGATAGGCTACATGTAGAACCACCAGAAGTGAAGGCGTGGAGACCATGATCAGTTGTAAGGCCCAAAGTCTGACCTGGGAGATGGGGAAGAAGTGATCAAAACACACATTTTCACAACCAGGCTGTTTCACATTGCACTCAAACTCTTTCTGCTCATCTTTCCACACATGCTCTGCTGCGACCACGTAGACCAGCAAACGGAAGATGAACACAACAGCCAGCCAAATCCGTCCAATGCCAGTTGAGTATTTATTTACTCCAGTTAAGAGGTCTCTGAGGAACATCCAAATCATGACTTGGGTTCAAAAGAAGGTAAGATTCTGCAAAAGAAAACAATTTCATCATGATTCATTTATTTTTATTTCATTGATCATTTTCACTGTCTTACTTGATTTTGGGATTGTGGAAAAGAAACTCAAATTTCAACTCTGGATGTTGAGGACTCACTTTCAAACATGGAGATAACACAATTAGTCTGTATATACAATTGATCTCATGCCCAGTTTAATTTGGAATATGGTTGGTGACCCCACACACACTATACCCATTTTCAAACAAATTCTTCAGTTTATTGCTTCTCTATAAGGATGGATGTGTTCTGTTACTAATCTAGAAAAAATTAGATATGAATCCCAAGGTAACCTTGGTACTTTGAGATAGCCCTCACATACCCACTTCTTGAAGTTGTAATCTCTACTCACTTTTTCTACTTTGTCAGTGCCCCTCCCCAATCCCTAAAGGTTAGTCACTGCACTTAACCTCCCTTTATGTCCCATATCCTATATCAACAGCTGAGCTTGCCTACAGTCTGATAGTGAAAAATGATTCTCTCCAGTAAGAATTTCTTCAAACTCATGTTTTCTCACCCTTCCAGATCCACTTACATCACTGCCCAACTTAACTTGCTCCACCCAGTCTGGAGGGAGGGGTCGTCTCATCTTGCCTCAAAATGGTCATTCCAGCTCTATAGCCCATTCCCATGGATTCAACTATTGCTTTCAGACTCCTGACTCTCAAATCTTTGGCTCCTCCCCAGATTTCCAGACCTCTCTGCCTCTTGGTTATCATTTAAATATGTCCCAGGCATCTCAAACTTGATATATCTACAGCTGAATTTATTATCTGTCCTGCCCTTTGATTTTCTTGCTCAATGGTATCACCAATACCCAAGCGCCCAAGTTGGATATCCCACATACATCCTGGACTCCTCTCTCATGCCCCTTTTTAATTGCTCTCCAAATTCTGATTCCTCCTAAATATCTCTCAAATTTCCCTCCAGGTCACTGCTGAAATCTCTCTCACTTATACATCCTTCCCACACCTTTCCATTTCCAGTCTCATCATCTCTTCCAGTCTCCTCATACTACGTCCTTGATGATGCTTAATTATCTTGCACCTCTCTCCATCTCTTTTGCTCTTTTCCATATAAAAGCTGATAGGACAAAAAATCCAGTCAAGAAATGGGCAGAAAACATGAATAGACATTTCTCCAAAGAAGACATACAGATGGCCAATAGACACATGAAAAAATGGTCAACATCACTTGGCATCAAATCAAAACCACAGTGAGATACCACCTCACACAGGTCAGCATGGCTAAAATTAATAAGTCAGGAAACAACAGATTTTAACAAGGATGTGGAGAAAGGGGAGCCCTCTTACACTGTAAGTGGGAATGCAAACTAGTGCAGCCCCTCTGGAAAACAATATGGAGGTTCCTCAAAAAGTTAAAAATAGGACTACCCTATGACCTAGCAATTGCACTACTAGGTATTTACCCAGTGGATACAAAAATAGTGATTTGAAGGGGTACATGCACCCCAATGTTTATAGAAGCAATGTCCACAATAGCTAAACTATGGAAAGAACCCAGATGTTCATAGACGGATGAATGGATAAAGAATATGTGAGATATATATGTATATGTATATGTATATATGTGTATGTATATAAAATGTGTATGTGTGTATATATATGTGTGTGTATACACACACACACAATGGAATATTACTCAGACATCAGAAAGAATGAAATCAAGCCATTTGAAACAATGTGGATGGAACTAGTGGGTATTATGCTAAGTGAAATAAGTTAGTCAGAGAAAGACAAATACCATATGATTTCATTCATGTGGAATTTAAGAAACAAAATAGAGGAACACAGGGAAAGGGAAGGAAAAATAAAACAAGATAAAAACAGAGAGGGAGGAAAACCATAAGAAGCTCTTAACTATAGGAAACAAACTGAGGGTTGCTGGAGGAGAGATGTTTGGAGGTTGGGGTAACTGGGTGATGGACATTAAGGAGGGCACTTGATGTAATGAGCACTGGGTGTTATAGGCAACTGATGAATCACTAAATTCTATGCCTGAAACTAATAATATATTGTATGTTAATTAATTGAATTTCTATTTTAAAAAGTTTTAAAAAGTTGATAGGATGCTAGGGAGCCTTCTTTTTCATATCAGTGATGTCTTTCTGGCTTCATTCTTGTCTTATAATTGAATGCTGTGGTGTGGCCCTGATTTTTTTTTGTTGGGCTCATTTTATATATGCTCAGCATTCTCTGTTCAGTGCTTTTAAGTTGGTTTCTCACAACTACTCTGGAAAGTGGGAGTTCTGTTTGCTTTTGGTTTGGTTTGTTTGCTTATGGTGGTGGATGTTTTGTTCTTTCAGATGAGAAGGCAGATTCTAAAAAATGAAGCCACTTTCCCATGTTTACAAAGTAAGATGCAGAGCAGGGTTCAAATCCAATTTCCATCACTCTAAAACAGAGCTTCTCAACAGTAGCATCATTAAACTTGGGGCCGGATAATTCTTTGTTGGAGTGGCTGTCTTGTGCATTGTAGGTTGTTCGCAGTCTCCCTGGCCTCTACCAGTTAAATGCCAGTAGTACCACCTCCTGCCCCCAGTTCAGACAATCAAAAATGTAGTCCAGACATTTCCAAATGTGCCCTGTGGAGATGAGGCAAAATCTCTCTGAGTAAAAATCACTTCTCTTAACTCTCTCATCAGAAGATGTGGGCCAGAACTCCAGGTCTGCCACTCATATACTTTGTGATTTCTCAGGTGAAATCCTTGCCATTTCAGATCTTGTTTTCTATTACAAAAATTAATTAGTTTTTGCTTTTGCTATAGCTCAGCTGAAAGAGTATCATGGAAATGATGGTGTGAGGGGAATGAGAATGTTAAGAAAATTGGGATACTGTTATAGCAGCACACCTGTTGGAGCATGTCACATTACCTCTTATAGAGAGAACAATATCTAGTAAGCCCACACACTAGAGCCCTGAGGAAATGTATGAAGGTTAAGAGACATTTTCAGAGAAAACAAAGACACATGTACACAGTGCTCTATTCAGCAGGGAATAAATACTTCAATGTCCTTGGGTTTTCAGAATACAAACAAAATTGTATTAAATAAAAAGGATTCTCAAATCCACCTGAAAGGTTAATGTCTCCATGAATTATAAAACAAAGTCCCAAAGATTAAAAAGGGAACACAAAGGGTATTATGTTTTCCTGTAACATGTGTCATTGAGCATTTGTCCATATTATTCAAAAGGGTATTTATGTAATATTACAAAGCATTTGAAAGCCACTCTGCTGGGCATTTTAGAGAAGGGAGGAAGGCAAGAGTTGATTCAGACTTTTTTGCTAAAAGGAGAGCAATAAAAAAGCAACTGGTGTTTGAATAGAATTGGAAGACTGATACCATCAAATGTGACAGGATTATGAATTTCATTTGACTGATAAATGTCTATCCTATTTTGAAGTTCTCTGCTAATGGAAAGACCACGGCTTTTCTCAGGAGAGAGAGGTGTTCTAATGTTAGTTCAATTTTAACAAAGGTGGTTTAGCACAGTGGATAAGAGCCTGGGCACAGTGTTGGACTCCTCAGGTTCAAGTCCAAGTTTAGCTCTGATGATAATAGTACCAGCCATGTCGGGCTCAAAACAGAGTCTGACACATGGTAAGTGATCCATAAGCATTATTATTATCATCATCATCATTATTTTGCCACTAAAAGCCTTTCTTTGATGTCAAATTGGAAGTCTTTCCAATTGTAAGTATATATATTTTTTTCCCTAGCTTTTTTTCCTATGAAGGTGGGTAAGTTAGGAATCTTCATATAATGGCCCTTTAAGCATTTGAAAGCAGTCATTATTAGTTTGAAATCATTAGCTCATCATTCTTATCTCTCTCTTTAAAAAAAAAAAAAAAGATTTTATTTATTTATTTGACCACAAGATAAAAAGAGAGCACAAGTAGGCAAAGAGGCAGGCAGAGGGAGAGGGAGAAGCAGCCTCTCCACTAAGCAGGGAGTTCAACATGGTGCTTGATCCCAGGACCCTGGGATTATGACCTGAGCCGAAGGCAACCACATAACAGACTGAGCCACCCAGGTACCCCAACATCATTAAATAATAATTCAGATTATCTCTTTATCTTTAATAAAACTCTTTAATTTATCTCTTTTCTTAAACCACTAAGGATAACTACCAATTTTTGAAGAGTTTCTACTTGCCAATTCTAATGTACTAGTTCTCCTGTGACTTTCTCTTTTCTCTTAAGAACTAGCAGTTAACTGCACAAGAATTTAGTTTGGAAAATTCAATTAATCAAATATTTTCAGAAAGTAAAATATTCAGTATTACTAATATCAGGAATAATATTGGGAAATTGCAAATATTCCCCAAACATCTTTTCTGAATTAAAAGTGGAGGTGAGAAGAAAAGTGCTGGGTCAATCAGATTTCCATATGAACAAAAATAAAGTTGGATCCCTACTTTATACCATTTAAAAACTTATCTTAAAATGGATCAAAGACCTAAATATGAGAGTTAAAACCAAAATTCTTAGAAGAACACAAAGGGGTAAATCTTTATGATCTTGAGTTTGGTAATAGATTCTTGGATATGACACTGAAAGCATGAGCAACAAAAAAGAAAAAAATAAATTGGATTTCATAAAAATTAAAAACCATTGTTCATCAAAGGACATTATTACAAAAACAAAAAGACAACTCACAAAGTGAGAAAAAAATACTTGTATGTAATGTATCTGGTAAGGTTTTAATATCCAGAATATGTAAGGAGCTACTAAAACTTAACAACAAAAATAATTCAAAAATGGTCAAAATGTTTGAATAGACATAACTCCAAAGAAGACATACAAATGGCCAGTCAATACATGAAAAGATACTTAACATCATTAGTCATTAGGAAAATGCAAATCAATGCTACAATGAGATATTGCTTCACATTTACTAGGATGAGGACAGTTTTTAAAATATAAAATAAAGGGGCAGCTGAGTAGCT